AACGACTCTCCATTTCAAGAAATGCAACCAGGCAAACAAGAGCAAGGGGAAGTAGATACTGGCTGGTTCCCTTCCTCTGAACTCTACATTGGTTCCTTATTTCTTAACCAGACTTTAAAGAGAGCCAGGGGAAGCCGCCACTGGATGCCTCTCTTCCTCTGAATCCTAAATTGATTCCTTATTTTTTTTGTTGCCATTTCTATAAGGAGACAACAACAGCAAAGCCTACTGCACTTTAGTTGAGGCTTACTCATTGGGACCTGGGAGAATAGAGTAGAACTTCCCCTGAGGGTTTCTGAAGAGGCAAATCTTTCGGGAAGTTGACGGCCACATATTTCCCCACAGAGCAGTTGGTGAGTTTTAACTGCTGACCTTTGGGTGAGCCGCCAAGCTCTTAACCACTGCTGCACCAGCTCAACCACTGCAACACCAGCTCCAAGAATGTATGTAAAATCCCAATGCTAAACTCACCGCCATCGATCTTACAATGACTTCTAGCAACCCTACAGGACAGGATGGAATTGCCCCTGTGAGTTTCTGAGACTGTAATCCTTCCAGGCTTAGAAAGCGCAACTTTCTCCCATGAAGAGAGTAGGCTTTCAAACTGCAGGCCTTGCAGTGAGCAGCCCCACACATAATCACTCAGCCAACTTCCTGACTATGTTCTGAAACTTTAGAGACAAGTGAAAGTTGGTTACTGATAGCAAAGTGCATGATAATGTTTAGATGGAAACTTAACAAAAAAGCCAAACCCACTGCCATCAGGTCAATTTGGTCTCACCTGTTTTTGATAATTCTGGGTAAGAACTCCAAAATGAAGCAGCTGGGTCATAGACCAGATTTCCAGTCTGGTCTTTTTGATTCACCTTTGGTCTGACAGCCCCGCCTTGAAAGTAATGTTTATTTGGAAGCTACATTGCATGTGCTTATATTTTAACATACAATTTGCTTTCCAGTTGAATCAGGTGAAGCTCCACATACCTGAAATGCCACTTGAAGGCAATGAGCCTCCAGCTTCTATTGTGAGTGTTAATTCTCTAAACCCGCCCCACAGTCCAGCCCCGAGAACACACCAGTGAGAGATGGAGCTCCATGACCAGAATGCGCATGTCCTTGTGAATATGAATGCAACACGTAGATTTTTTGCGTCAGTTTTTGAAAACTGAGGCTAGGAGAAAATACAAAATTAGAAAAGATAAAAAATAATAACTGTTTGCATGTGAAAATGCAAAATGGGCATTTCTTTTATGCTCCTAAATTCCCCTACCCCTGATTGCTCAGCCAAGTAGCGCATCACTCCTTACAGAAAGAAAGCAACGAATCTGCTTCATTCCTGGTATTATTGTCCATTGTGATTGAAATTATTTCTGAATTGTAAGTGAAATTAAACAAAAGCAATTCACTGCCAGCTTTTGAATATGACCATAAAACTCTATTTGTGCAAATGAATTAATTTCTTTCACTTAACACACCTGTTTCCAAGGCCCATCTTTATGAAACATTTTTATCTTCCTACTAGCTGCTTACCAAGCCGAATTTTCCACCACCACCAATTCCTACATCTGTATCATCTTCCTCTTTCCTCGTAAGTATCAGATGGCCAGGGGGTGATTTTGCTTTTAAATGTCTCTTTTCCACATAATGTGTGCCCAGTGAGATGGTGCCTCTCAATTCATAGGTTCTTTAGCATGGCATGTGCTCCTTAAATTCATCTCAGATCTTATAGCTCATTTGTCTCTCAGGACTATCTGAGGGAATGCTGCCTATTTACAATCGATATTGTCTGGTGGGTTTTCATCCCTGAATTGGAGAAAGGATCCTATTATTCCAGAGTTTCTAAGAGTCCTTCTTCTGTGGGAGGTATACCGTCTCCTCCAGAGGCTCATGGTTAGATCATTATTTGGTGGGGATTTAAAAGTTTACCATGTAAATGATATTTTTTATTTGTCATATAATACATTTTAACTATTTGTTACAGTTTAACTATTTGTCCAATTATTTGTTGGAGGTGAGGTATGAAAATTAGGCCGCCTATATTTGGGAAACCTGAAGTAAGGGACAGACATCTCACTACCGAACCATTTGCTTGTTTGGTAGAGC